ACTCAATTTCTCTCAAAGAAAATGAAATTCCAGAATTAAAAAAGGATCCTCTCATCGTGCTCACCTCCTGAAACTCCAGATTTGTTGCTTAAATTTTCAAATTGGACCAAACTACTAAATGTCCTAACATTTGTGTTACGCTTTATTAATAGATGCCGCAACCACCCTGTCAATACTACTGAAGGTGATAGACCTACCCTCTCGGAAATACAGTCGACTGAAAAGCTTGTCATGAAACTTGTACAAAATGAAGCTTTTTCGGAAGATATTGCACTTTTGAAAGACAACAAACCATGCAGTACAAGGATCAGAAGATTCTTTTTGGACAGCGAAGGAATTATTCGAGTTGGAGGAAGACTAAATCAATCATCTCTGAGTTATGACAGTAAACATCCAATCCTTTTGCCAAAATCTCATCATGTTGTTAACATTCTGATCGACCATTTTCAATCAAAACACTTACATGCTGGACCACGACTCCTTCAGTCATTGATAAATGAACGCTTCTGGATTCTCTCTGCTAGAACCGTTATCAGAATGCGAATTTTCAAATACCCCACCTCTTATGGGTGATCTACCCAGTTCAAGAGTCAGCTGTACACGCCCATTTCAGACAACAGGCATGGACTTCTGTGGTCCCTTCATTGCAAAATCTCACAATCTACGGTCTGTTAAACATTTCAAGATTTATATATGTGTATTTGTATGCTTTGCCACAAAAGCCGTTCATCTAGAACCTGTGACTGATCTTTCTACAGCATCATTTCTAGCTTCTTTAACACGATTTGTATCACGTCGAGGTCTTCCAAAAAAGATTCATTCCGACTGTGGTACCAACTTTGTCGGAGCTGATTCATATTTTAAATCACTCTTCAAAATTATTGAAAACAAACAACAAATCTTGGACTTTTGTAACCTTCATTCAATCGAATTCAACTTCAATCCACTAGGGGTGTGCGAATAGTGATTTTCAACCTCGAGCCGAGCCGAGCCGAGCTTTTTAAAATATTTTCGAGCTCGAGCTTTTTCGAGCCGAGCTTTTCCTAGCGTCACCTTATAATAATAATAATAATAAATCTTTATTGTCGTTTGGTAATATAAACATTACAATAGACAAGGTCAACATGTTTTGTTACATATGTTAAATAAAATATTAAATATTCTACAGAAAATGTTAAAATAAAGTTAAAAGGATAAAGCATCAGTAATAATAAAAACTTTAAAATTAACAGGGAAAAGACCATAACAAGAACAAAGAATCATCAAGACTGCTTGGCCTCACATTTAAGCGTTAAAAAATCTTCATTCTGCAAAAACTCATCAACTGAATAAAAAGCACGACTTGTAAGCCAATCTGATAATTTTGACCTATACAAATGAATACTTTCCTGATTTCTAAAGTATATTGGAAGTTTATTAAATAGTTTTATTTGCAAGTATTTATAACTTTTGATAAATTTTGATAGCCTGGCTTGAGGAATATATAAATCTTTTGATTGTCTGGTGATATACCCATGGATTGAGTTGCAAGGAACAAATTTATTCAGATTCTCTTTAACGGAAACTAAATTGTAAAAAATGAAAATATTAGAGAGTGTTATAATTTTATTTTCAGCAAAAAATGTTTTGCAACTAACCCTATCTGGAATTTCAAACATAATTCTGAATTCTGAACATTATCAAAAAAATAAATTATTAAAAATTTTTCTTCAAAAAGTGCATAATAATAATAATTTTCAGTCAATTTTTAAATAAACACAATATTATTTTAATATGTCTAAAAACATTGAGAATTGTCAAGACATCAAATAGTAGATAATCACGATAAGAACTGAACTGAACTAAATTAAGATGCAAGAAATAAAAGGATATGATTGAAGGCCTGACGAGATATGCAGTGCAGACTGAGCCAATCAGATTGTCTTTCATAACAGAACAGCGCTATCTTGAATGACAACAAAACAACTAGCAAGTCGATTAAATATGTATATTGTAACTACTATGAATATTTTATTCCATTTTGTATAAATAAATAAATATAAAAACACGTGATTATTCTTGTTGTTTTCCATGCACAAAATATTTTTGTTTTATGAATCGTATTAATCAAAAAGAACATGATTGGTTTGGAATGTTTGGATCCAAAAAGGTGAAGAGACAAAGTAAAAAGTAAAATTATATATTAAAAAATATATAATTGACATATAGAGGAAATAGACCAAAACACTAAAATTAATAGAATAACACACAAAGTAAACAAGAAATGAAATAATGAACACGATGATTTAACACTGTCACTAAATTCTGTTATCTAGAAGGGTCGGTGAACTAATCAATAAATAGCCAAAACCAGTTTCCTCCCCCATTTCCTCTGAAACAATAAACCCTTACACCCGCGTTGCTGTTTTGACAACAGGGTTATGAATGCATTCACTATTTTTCATTTTCCAGGATTAACTCTCAATTATTATTATTTGCAAGTTACAAATAGGAAACTACATCACATTATGGTATTCAATGACCCATGTATTATCAAAAATTAATAATCCATTACTTATTTTGATAATAAAAAGCATTCATTACAGCATGCACCACTTATTGATATTTAAATAATCATCAAAGTAACTGTTACTTTATACAAAATAAAATAGGTACAAAATTGTGTGGCCAGTCAAACTTTATAAACAAACATTTTATTCTATAAAATACAGATGGTAAATAGGGGTTGGTAAAGGAAATAAAATACAAAACAGATAATTAATTATTTTGATAAACATTAGAAAGGTTATGGGATTGATTGAACTAAAATAACCGCAGGGAAACTTGTAAGTAGAAAAGTCGTCAACCACAATCTGTTTAATCAGTACATTGTTAGAGAGAGCCGAGAGAGAAAGAGAGATAGCAGATAGGGGCGTTTGATAAGGAATCTGAAAAAGTAAACAAACAAGGAACGACACGACACGACGATTGATACTTGTTTACAGCCTTATTGTGTCGCCCACTACATTTGCACACGTGACCACTTTTTTTTTCTTCCTTATCTTTCATCCGTCCCAAAATAGAATTCCTGAAATTGTTTGTTGGTATAATCTCCCCTCCCACACAAGGCGCAGTGCTCAGTGCGCACTGTAGGTTGTCACGGCAACCGTGTGTCGTCATAGCGACGAGCCAATCACGCACTCGCACTGCGTTGTATATTACGATACGAATAGCTGTGTTAGAAAGACAACACGATAGGTGGTAGTTTGTCTCTTTACTATCTCCTCAAAATTACGATCGATAATCATTGCGTCTTGACTGAGCTGAGGTTCGTGCTTATCAAACCTCGAATGATTGAACAACGTAGAATTGTGATAACATTGTTTCCAATTACGACCCAAATTAAGTGTTTTTTTTAGTTTTGACTTAGTATTAAAAGCTCGGCTCGAACTTCGAGCTTTTTCAAAATGCCTCGAGCCGAGCCGAATAATGAAAAGCTCGACCAAAAAGCTCGAAGGTTCGAGTACTCGCACACCCCTACAATCCACCAGCTGCCCCACACCAAGGAGGCTTGTGGGAAAGTGCTGTCAAAAGCATGAAACATCACCTCTATCGAGTCATTCAACAAGAAGTTCTTACAGTTGAAGAATTCTTCACTCTAACTGCTAAAATTGAAGCAATTATGTATTCAAGACCATTGACTCCTCTTTCCTCAGACCCTTCGGACTTAACAGCATTAACTCCGGGCCATTTTCTCATTGGCTCTTCTCTAGTATCTGTTCCTGAACCGGACCTCACCGATTTGACTTCTAACCGCCTTAAGCGTTGGCAACGTGTCCAAGCTTTTACCCAAAACATTTGGCGACGTTGGAGCCAAGAATACCTAAACACCCTTCAACAGCGTTTCAAGTGGAACATCAAAAATGAAAACCTCAAGGTTGGTGACCTTGTTCTACTTCAAGACACCAGAACTGCTCCCCTGTGTTGGCCATTAGGTCGAATAGTGGAAACTTCACCTGGACTGGACGGCATTGTCAGAGTGGTCAAAGTTAAAACAGCAAACGGACTGTATACAAGACCAGCGATAAAAGTGTTTCCCATCCCTTAAATGTGTTCCTCAGACAATCAATTTTACATAAATACCCCCCTCAGTTTTTGTTTTTGTTAAAAGTAATATTTTAATTTGTTGAACTCCATTGGTTCAAAGGGGGCGGTATGTTACGTCAAGTGTCTTTGTTTCATCTATTAATTTAAATGTCTTTGTATTTAACATCCCATCATATGACCATTATCGATTGTTGGATTCATTCATCGCGAATCACCTCTCATAACAAAACGTACTCATTATTTCTCTCATAAATTAAACCTCTTTTATACCAAAACCCTCGACCTTTTACTCTTTATTATAATAACACTGCACAACAACCTTCGGGTTCCCTCATGTCCTGGTATCAGACAATGGAACTCAGCTAACTTCAAAACCTTTCAAAGATTTTCTCACAAGGTATGGAATAATACAAAAAACCATAGCTCCATTTTAAAAAAATGGACTGTTGGGAAAATTGAGAAACAAATGGGAAATGTTATCTACCTTGTTAGAACGGAAGACGGATGTATATGGAAAAGACATGTAGACCAGATTAGAACATTTTAAATATACAAAGAAAACTAAAGCGGGAGGATTGCTATACCAGCTGATCAGCTGGAGTTTATTTTCTAATGTTTGTTTATGTTTGTAATTTACAGTTTAGTTTTCTGTTTACACCTTTAATAAAATGAGTTACTTAAAACCATCTTTGATCTTGAACTTAAACCTGATGATTCTGGCTAACAAACCAGCTTATCCTGAAAGTAAACCATTGAAGTCATCTGCTTCACACTGACATACAAAACATTAATAGTATAAGCACTGAACGACTGTGTGGAAATTGTTCACTGATCTAAATTATTACTGGTTGAATTCTGTTAGTGATGTTGCTTCCTGCAGCGTCTTGTTGCTAAAAAGATGGGTTTTTGTGCAGGTGTTCTATCAATGGCCACTTCTACAATAGAGAGACGAGTTTCTTCACACCTCCATTTGGCAGTCAGATGTCAGTGTGGGTGACGTCCTTAGTGTCCACACAAGAAGTGATCAATCTCATGCTCGACAAGTACAAGGTTGACAGCAACCCTGCCAACTTCGCACTCTTTGTCGTTAGGGATAATGGAGGTAACGCAAGACTTGGAAATTGGAGATAGGCGAAAAAAAAACCGTTGGTGGAGTTCCATTCTAACCATGATGGAAATAACAAATAGCCTGTTGTTTGTCATTATATTAAAATCACAAAATTTATGCAGTTGTCAAAATCACCTGTAATAAATTACGATTGTATGATATGATATAATGACAGTGAATATATCAGTTGGCACTGATAATGCTCAATGAATGCTGAAAATGGTTCCAATACTTTACTGTAGAACCTCTTTTACACGACCCTCAATAACATGACAACATGATAACATGAATTATTACAAATGCCCTTTTAAAATCCCCTTTAACCCCTTAACCGCCACGCACGAGATATGCCGGGCGATACTAGTTTTCAGAGCAACCGCCACGTACGAGTTATCTCGTGTTGACGTAATCAGCTGTTGTGTTTTATTTTTAACAGCTCACTTCCCGCCTTATCTCTGATATACGTACGTAAACAAGTTGTTGACAGTGCTGCTTGACTAGTGCTGCAATCTGGTGGATTTTAGTGGTATTATAGGTCAGTAATGGTCCCGATCAGTTCCGTTCGTAGTTTCAGTAAAACTCGTGCTTGCGGAAGCTTACGTAATGCTTACGTACATTATGCGTGTCATTATAATTGTGATTTTTGGTGGTTATTTACTTGGTAGTGTTGAATGAGTAGTAAATATTAGTCGTAAATGGCTGGTGACATGCTTGAGGATGACGATTTATTAGAGTTGTAGACTTTATTGTCGGCCTAATTTTTATTATAGGCCTAACTCAAGAAACCCCCGAACCCCAACCCCCCCCAATCTCAAATTTTAGTATTGTTAAAGCTTAATGTTTTTGAAGATGTCTACAAACAATATTGATAACTATTTTCTTTAAAAAAAACAACTGGTACAATTTTTTAAATCACAAGTAAAAATCGTCAAAAAACGGCAAAAATAAGTGGCAATGGCGGATTTTGACTAGGCTACTTAGACGGCGGTTAAGGGGTTAAAACACCACAACACAGAATGTTAGACTTATCTCCCTCAAACGACTATCTCTTATTAAAAATTAAAACCAACCTCAATAAATTTTTCTTGCCGAAATTATCTTGGTTACAGGACTCTCAACAATAAAAATACCTAAAAAACAAGACTGTTTCCCTAATCCCCTTGAAACAATTCTTAACTAGGTTCTACTGTATTAGTTCAATTGCTGAAGAGGGCTATTAATATTGCAAAATTCCAGGAGACAGTTTTATGATGATGATGGTGGGTAATGGGAGACAGTCTTTGATTTGTGTGTAGTTTGATAATTAGTTCATTTCATAATTAATTTTATATTTTATTATTTTGTTTCTTCCTTTGTGTTTTTTCTTATAGCTGAATATTTAAGAACTACCATGGTCAAATGAAAGTCAACTCGTGCTTGTCTCGCTCCTGATACTAGGGGCGCTGCATAATAGTTTTTTTTACAGTACTGTTTCAAAGTAGAAAAATATAGCCTACTACTGTGATGTTACGTAAACAATAGATTTAATGTTTCACGAAAAAAGTCAGAATAGAAACAATAGAAAGGCAACACAATGGAAGGGTGGGAGGGGTTGGGCAATGACCTCGAAAGGAGCGCGGGTAGTGAGTCAAGTAGGACCGGAGAGGGAAGGGGTGGGTAAGACCTTGAAGCTATATATAGACTTGCACTACTTCCCTAAACCTAAAGGACTGGCCGGCGAGTGTTATTCCAATCACTGGACAAGATACGTTGTTTTTTGGGTATTCATTGCCCGGTTTGACTTTGGATTGTCTTACTGTGTAGAAACTTTCAATAATAAAAAATAAAGTTAGAACTAACCACAATTATTTAGCATTGATTGTATACATATTAAATGATTAAACGATAGGGACCATGGATATATACACAACTTTTGTCGTGATTTTAATTTCAACATCAAAATACAATATTGCACAATCGTAATATTTTAGGTCATTGACCTTTATTATGCATCCGGTATTGCTGTTTCAGAAGAGAAGCACGTTGATAAATTATAAACTGATATTCCCGTAGTTAAAAAGAATTATTTTATAAACCTATAAAACAAAATCATAAAATCTTACATAAAGTAAAGATAACAATAATAGAAATTGTAAAAAGGGTATAAAGATAACAACATCGTTATTCTTTCTCTTTGTTCTTCTATTTCTTGGGTTTCCCTTAATAAGCATTCAACAAGTTGCCATGGTTACTTATCATATTGTAATTATTTTGACACTATTTATTGTAATTATTTTGACACTATTTATTGTAATTATTTTGACACTATTTATTGTACAATGTACATAAAAATGAATAAAAATATTTGAATTGAATTGTTTGCTCATATCCAACTAAACTGAGATTACAGTTTAGTTAGATAGTTGTATATTATTGGCATGAGTTATAACTGAGATATTCAGTGATTCTCTAAATAGTGATTAACATAATTGCTGTCTTTATTTGTTAATGTATGGGACATTTTGTCTGTAAAGCTATTGCAGCAAGTTATCCAAATCAAGTGTCATATCCATATCACACTTGTATCTATATATTTTTAATGTATCATGATGTCTAACAGCAAAGCTAACCAAAGTGATTATGTTTTATCAATGACTATGTGGTTGGATATAGAGCAACGGAGACTCCAAGATGACGAGTATCCTCTGTTAGTGAGAGTCATGCTGGGGCCTCATGAGGATGTATCCAAGTTGTACCTCATGGATCGACACAACACCGATGAAATCAGTAATGAGGTCAGTAACATTTCAATCAAAATTATTTCAAACAATCATTTACTTGTGAATGATTTTATATTTTCAATAATAAGTTTTTAAAACAATTATCTAGTTGTCTAAATCTGTCTGTAGGCCGTGACTTAATGTTGTGCTGTAGACAAAGATGATTTAAAGACAATATTGTGTTTAGAGGGTTTAAAATTTCAAAATTCATCCATCATAAGTATTAGTATAGATTAAATACGTACTCCCTTTTAGATTTATCATCTTTTTTGATCAGCTGAAGACAATTGTTAGTTCATGTAGAAAGCTTTTTTGTTTACTATTTGTTTCTTAGAAAAACTATCTTATTAAGCCTAAATAGTGCGAAGTAACCTAAACCACTGCCTCCCCTCTAGTTTTATAAACAAACAACAAAACTCAAATTTAAAAATCTACCCTAAAATAAGAAAGAAACATTTAGATGACTGTCGATAGTAGTCTAGTCAAGATATAAAATAAAACCCCTTAACCTTAAAAAAATGCTCCAAAAGTTTTTTTGATGGTTTACATTTCCAATAAGTTTGTTAAATAATATACTAAAAGTCTAATAAAATCGGAGTCTCGGCGGTTGTTTTTTTTTCAATATGATGACATTAAATAAAAAAAAATTAAAATGTTTTCCCTAAAACCATTTTTTAGTTTTTTAAAACTACAGTATTTTTCCTGTACATTTTCTTCTGAACCTCCAACTTAGACCGAATTTGGTACAAACCTGTGAAACTGTAGTATCTAGAATTTTTGATTCACCGGTTACCTTGTATAGTTGGTCAAACCTTTGCAGAAATAGCATCATAATACGTAAATCTTTTGTCTCTCACTATGGTTTAGGAACCACTGTGGTGTTTGATAGCTATCCAGATGAGCCGAACATTCAAGATTGTACACATGAGAAGAGGGAAAAACTTGCATCCAGTTGCAGGTGTCAGTTGTTCTCCCAAAACAGAGTTTTCTGGAAGAAAAGAAGATTTCTTATCAGTAAAGAATAAAGTACAGGAATTGATTAATCTGGTGAGCCTACAGTTAAAAAAAAGAGTATGTGCACGTGCAGTTAATAATGCTCCCAAAGATGCTGATGTAAGCATTGTTTTGGCTGCAGTAACCAAATCGGAAACAGAAACAACGACAGTGATAGGAGAAGATACAGATCTACTTATCCTACTTGTATAACATGCCAAGCTCTACAGCAAATCATTGTACTACAGATCCGACAGAAATATAGTAAATGGGAAAATTAAGATTTTGACATTTTGAAACTAAAAGAGACGCTTGGATATGAGTTGTGTTCCCAGTTACTGTTCATACATGCCATAACAGTGTGTGATACAACCTCTCGGTTGTTTGTCGGTATGGCATTGGAATAAAGAGAATATTTCAGAAATTTGTAAAAGGAGACCCTATGTTACATAAGAATACTCTAGAGTCTTCTTGACCCCAAATCAGACCAAAGAAATCATTGATAATCTTGGTGCTAAAGCAATTTCAATTTTGTATGGGGGAACATCTGATGACTCGCTGGGGTAATTAACATTCAATTTATTTAACAAAATAGTAGTGAATACCTTGTCATTTGGGAAACCTAACATACTCCCCTCTACTGAATCTGCTGCAAAGATGCATTATTGCATTGCCACCGGTCCTATTATCAAATACTTGTATGGATGGGAAAGGAAAATGTTGAGGGTCCTTTGAGATGGGGATGGAAGATTTCAAAGGGATATTTTACTCCAATCATGACAAACCAAAGTGCCGCTCCAGAGAGTCTTTTAAGAATTGTTCACTGCAACTGCTCTACTTATAGATACTTAGTATAGATGGACATACTTTTGAAGTTGTTGAACAATTTAAATATCTAGGGGTAATTATATCAAGCAACAATAGTAAAGAAATGGAAATAAATTATAGGATTGCTCAGGCCAATAAATGTATGTATTCTTGTAAGAAATTGTTGACTTCAAAGATTCTCTCACATAAAACGAAAATAAAAATATATCATAGTATAATTCGACCAGTATTAACATATGGAGCTGAAACTTGGATTTTAAATAAAAAAGAAGAAAACAAAATGATTGTTTTTGAAAACAAAATTTTAAGAATGATATATGGACCAATACAAGAAAATGGAGAATGGAGAAAAAGACATAATAGGGAGATAAGGAATATGTACAATGATTATGATGTAGTAGCACACGTGAAAGCAAGGAGAATAAGGTGGGCAGGACACGCACTACGGAGAGAACGAGGTTCACTACTAAAAGAAGCAAGTATAGGAAAGCCAGAAGGGAAACGACCATTAGGAAGGCCCAAGAAGAGATGGTGGGATAGTGTTTCCAAGGACGTCAGAGAAGTGGGGGCAGAAGTGGAAGAGGCAGAAGATCGAGAGAGATGGAAAGCAGTTGTTGGTGCGGCCAAATCCCGCCTTGGACATAAATGACCATGGGAGTGAGTGAGTGTAACTGCTCTACTTGCTGCAAGAATTTTCGGTGCTCCTGCAAAAAGTATGGGTTAACTTGTACTACAGCTTATACTCAGATAAAGATTATACTTATTGCCAGGATAAATTATGACTTTGCCAGCTTGGGGAACAATGTGACAATTCACAAAGTGATCATAACAGTGTAGAACTTGATGAGAATGATTACTTAGAAAGTGTGGCTATGAAGTAGAAAGTAAAGCCGAAACAATGCTAATACTCCTTTAACGTTGTTTAGCATTGTTTAACACTTAAAGTGCCGTTGACATGTTTGAACATGAAAATTGCATTTATTTCAATGTTAAGCAATGGCGGGAATTCCCGTCATCAGCACCCAACGTGTTAAATGGAGAAAAGTGGTGGTAATACATTACGAAAACAACACGTTTCTCTGTTATTATTTATCGAATCTTAACAAATAAGGTATCATTGAAAACTACATAAAATTTACAAACTTTTTTGTCTCTTGCAATTTTTTTGTAAAGTTAACGGTTTTCGTGAAATATGGCATCAAATATTTTAAATGGCCGCCATTTTGAAATGGTTAATGATTTTTTAGTATAATTTCTAACGATAATAGGTCTTAATAAGATTAACATTTCTGCAAAATCTCAAAGCTGTATCTCAAACCGTTTAGGAGTTATTAATGTTTTTGTAAAAAACACATAAATACCGACAGTCCGTAAACTAGACACCACAGACCCATGTTCCTATGGTGAAATGTGTTTGTCTTGACCTAAGGAATAACGCTATATACAAGTGTCCAGAGAGTTACGGGACACCCTGTATAGTAAATCTAGTACACAATGAGTCTGTTATGATGTCAGAACAAGATGGTAATAATTTAGAAACTTGGCATAAAAAATTGGGTCATCTAAATCATAAGCGACTGCAAGAACTTCCTGAAATGTGTGAAGGTATACATTTTGTAAAACAGGAGAATAAAACTATTTTGGACTGTTCAGTGTGTGCTAAGGCTAAACAGGTAAGATTACCTTTCAAAACTGTGAGACAAAGAGCTGAAAGACCACTACAAATAATACATAGTGATCTTTGTGGTCCGATTGATCCTCCTACATACGACACTAAGAATTATTTTTTGACATTGCTTGATGACTATACACATTTTTGTAAAGTGTACCTGTTGAGTACAAAATCAGCAGGTGAAGTGTCAATGTATATAAAACAGTATATCGCTGAAGCTGAGGCTCATTTCAATCTGAAAGTCAGTAAACTAAGATATGACAATGGTGGGGAATACAACAATGTAGAATTCATTGATTGGTGTAAAAAGAAGGGTATCCAAATTGATTTTACCATTCCATATACTCCACAACTGAATGGGAAATCTGAAAGACTAAGGCCCGATTTCACCAAACATTTAAACCGCCGTTAAACCATGCTCTAACTGCAGTTAACTCTTAACTGACGAAGTCGGATTTTACCATCCGCCGTTAGAGCTAGTTTAGACTAAACCGTCGTTAGATAATTAACTGCCCAATTTTGACCGGTTAACTTCTTTAATCCTTCGTTAAAGTAAATATCAGCTGTTTTTCAGCTTAAAGTTTATATGGAAAGGCCAAATGGTAGAAGAGAATGATGGCGATGAAGAGTAGCCTATGTTGTTCGCCGAACTAGGTGGATAAGAGTAAGGGTTAATGATTTTAATAACAAAGATGAAATTGATTTTATTATTAAATATGAACTATCAAAACGTTCATCCTTTTTCTTTAGGCAATGAATACAAACCACTTTAGGGGTTTCTGTTTAGGCTATCTCACATAATGCATTGCTTTAGGTTATCCAACAAGGTTTTTAGTAAAGGCTTATCTCTGTGATCAGCGATCGCGTTGAACTGATTTGCGATTAAGATCCACACTCTTTTATCCCGGCTAAAAAGTGTGTTTTCTACCAACATTATCAAATTTATTTTTTCATTGTTTGAAAAAATAGGCTCCCTTTTCCTTTTCCCGGCTTTGGGTAACCCTAACCCAACGTTTAAACAATTATTTTGCGTTTGGTCAGACGTAATTAAGGACAGTATCTAAAATTAAATTGTCATTATTCTACTACTATTTTGGTAATTATTTTGGTGTTATATGTATTGTGTCTCGTTCTTGTAATTCTTTTGATTCCAGTTTTTTTACTACTTCAAATGTATCAAATTAGTTAGTTAAACAGAAAATTGAAAATCCCTGTAAAAAGATAGATTTTGAGTCTTTCTCGACCGCAAAACTCAATCAATTTGTTCCTCAATTGAATATGTTTGATCAACATTGCTTTTCCTTTATTTGCTTATGTTAATTATTTTGCTATTTATTTCTGTTTTCTATGGTTATTTTGTGCTTTTTGCTCAGAATCTATTGTATTTCTGTAAGCTTGCTGTCTCCAGTTGTTTTCACTACCTCATAAACACTGATTTATTTTCTAGGTTATGTTTACAATATGCTCCCATAACATCCGGGTATTATGACAGTTCACTGCCACCGCCACCTGGATTTTACTC